CCCACTCCCCCTGCTTGTGTTCCTCTCTCGCTGTGTCTCTCTCTGTCAAATAAATAAAATCTTTAAAAAAAAAAAAAAAAGAAAAGGGAAGGAAGATGTGCTTAATATTAAGTTATTAATGTCTTTGGGCTCTTTAAACATAGAGCTATTACCTCCTGAGATTTAAATCTGGACTTCTAAAATACAAGAATAAATATATGTATCTTACTGTTGTGTCTGCTGGCATGTCTGCCCTGGCTCTGGCTGAGACTCTGGTCGAGTGGGACAGTGGTGTGAAAGGCCGAGATAAGGCGTCCTGGACTAGGCAGAGGGACCTGTGCTGGAGATGCTTAAGAGGCCCTTGGCAGGACTTGATTGGGAGAAGAAAGTTGTAGCATGACTTCTAAGTTTCTGCTTGGATGACAATTGACTGGTACGGGAGGTACCAGAGAAAGATGAGGTCAGTTTGGATATGTTCTCTTTGAAATACTTGTGATAACTCAAAAAAGTGAGCCCCTAAAGCAGGTATTTATTTATACAGGGAGCAAGATTAGAATTACTAAGTTTCTTCCTTGCCATCTTAAGGCTTATTATGCTGTACTGATTTGCGCTCCCTAGAACAATCTTTATCGTGATATTTTCCCCACGTAAAAAAAATTTTTTTAAACTTAAGTCTATTCTAGTCATATCGGGGATTGCTCCTTTCCTTCCATTTATTGTCATGATTTTATAATTTTTTTCATTTTTCCCTCATTTCCTTGAATGTTACACTGTTTTTTATAAATAGGGAATATCGGTGCACACTAGCTAGTCACGACTTTTGAAATATTTTATGTAGAGGAAAATGTTTAAAAACCATACATTTTCTTTCCAAAATTGTTCATAGCCTCTGTTATTGAGGAGCTGGGGGGCGAGGGAACAGCCTGAGATGGGGTAGAATGTAATTTAGGTTGTCTGTTAAGTTTTGTTGTGTTTGTTTTAACGTTTATTATTTCCCATTCATCCCATTTTACTGGGCAGGAAACTGAAGCCAGAGGTTAACCTTCCCAAGGTCACACAGTTGAGTCCTGAGTGGCCCTTTATTATTAGGGCCATCAGACTCTTGAGAAGTGATTGGGATCTAAATGTTGAAGTGGTTGGATTATGTTCAGGAAAATTTCTCTTGGTAGGGAGAGAGAATATTCTCAGGCTGATTTAAAAAACAAACAAAAAAAATGCCTTCCAGAAATCTCTGAGACATGACGGACTTCCCACTAGAATTTGAGTTATTTCAAGAGTATGCTGGTATGGGACAATGAAAAGTAATGGGACAGTTTGTTCGTTTAGCCCAATACACTTTGGAAGGGCAACATTAAAAGAGCTAATTTGGAATTTGCTCAAGCAAATGAGGTGTAGATAGTTGTTGGCATTTCTAAAGACGAAGACAGACAAATAGCAATTAAGATGTTTTAGTTACCTTTCTGGACGTACATCCTTTGAATAGGGTTGGCTTTATAACCAGACGGGGTGATTTGTGGAAGCACCAGGGAAACCTTTCATAGCTTTGTTTCTATGAGCCGTGAATGTTTTAATGCTTTGCTGTTTAAAATATAACTACCTTTGTGAGGTGATGAGTTTTATTGTTTTGATAGCTAGCAGAGGGATAGGACAGCAGGGTCCTGATAGAAATGATAGGACAGACTCAGGACCTAGCCCTGCTTCAGATATTACCATCCTTGCTTTAGGGGGAAAAACCTCTTTTTTCATAATAATGGGTCAGTGAAGTAATAGCACTGATCAGGCAGCTGATCTGAGGGTGAAGGTGAATAACATATATCCAACCACTTTGAAAATTATGAGAATTCTTCCAATGCTGTGTGTTGCTGTTATTGAACAAGGAGAGGCAAAACCTGTAAGTCAAGGTGGTTTGACAGCTGGGTCAGAGATGTTTGCATATTTAGAAATGCAACAGGGACTGCTCTAAGGTATTTAGAGGATATTTTCTATTTTTGCGTGCACACACACACACACACACACAGCTACAAATAAATTGTTCAAAGCAAAGAATAGAGAAGTTCTCTGTTGGCTAAAGTGGTTGACTTGGACACAGTTTGGCCAGAGAAGCATTAACCCTGTGTGTTTCAGTCGTAACCATGATGTCTTAACTATGCCATTTAGATGTAAATACAGAATAATTGAATTTCAGAGCTTTCAAACTAGGGGAGGGCCCTCAGAAATCATCTAGTCCAGTGGTTTTCAAACTTGATTTTAGCAGCAGACTTTGTCCTTTAAAATGAAACCTTAGGTGGAACCCCAAACACTTGTAAAACAGAGAAGAATAAGTGGGTTCCTCTGGCCCTTGAAGTCTTGATTGTTTGGGGGGAAAATTCTTCATTGCCTGCAGAATCCCGTAAAAGCACCTCAGGTGGCACAGTTTGAAAGCCACTGATCTAGTCCAACCCTTTCATTTTACAGATGAGCAAACTGAGGTCCAGAGAGGTTAAGTGGCTTGCCCAAGGTCATACAGCTAGTCGTGGAAGAGCCAGGACTAGATCTCAGGTCTCTTGATTCCCAGTCCAGTGCTCTTTCCACTACACCACCCTGCCGGTAAGGTAGGTGCTGTGTTAGCATTGTGTTCATAGCTACTAATAGTCTTCAGTATTTGCCAACTGATTTATGCTGGTGATGTGCATTGAATGTTGAAGTGTTTTACTGAGAAATGTATAGGATATAAAAATATAGATTAGAATGGCAAATTTGCTCTTAGAAGATAAATTGATAGCTAGATTGTTCCGTTTCACTTTTAAAAATTATTTTAAAGCGGTGCATTCACGTAGTATCTGAGATATATTGGGCATTTTCATCTGATATCAATGATCAAGATGGATGGAGTCCATATGTATCAGATACCTACTTTGATGGGAGCAGCATTGACTTCTGGCTGCTACTCTCTTGGGGACCGTGCCCTGCTGTCATTTCCAGTGTTGACCAGGCTCCTATTGCTAGAATAGTGCATCTTTCTTCAGCATGTAGTGGGCATATATTCATTTCACATTAAACTCTGCAGTTCTTTGTGTGCTTGGGCCTTTTGCCTCTAACTCCTCTTTCCTTCTCAGTCTGTTGTGTGTAAATTGTCACTGGGGCACTACCCTAAAGGGACGTACAGGATGGTTCATGGCAGGATCTTATTGCTCTGATCTCCGTATCTCTGTTGTTGAGTTAGTTTCCATGCAGATGCGTCTGGTGTTATCAGACAGAGAGTATCCTAGACTCTATCTAGGAAACTAGGAAAAGTGTCTTAAAAGGCCTCTATGCTATTGTTACCAACCTAAAATCCAAAAGGCATGTAGAAATCTACAACTACTGTGATTTGGTAGAATTCTCATGGAGAAATTTCCTGGGGAAAGTAGATATTATCACTGGTCTAAGGATAGAGTGCTGGTCTTGTGAGGAGAGCTGAATACAAAGGAAACAGTGTAGGAGCTGTGATTTCGGTCAAAGTTGGGATGTGACTCGTTCCTATTATACTGAATATATTGAGTTAGTCTCTGGTCTCTAAGAACAGAGATATATCCAGGCCCCAGATATTTTTTTAGTCCTATTTCTGTGTGAGAATCTAGGAGCAGTGATTAGTTATCAGGGCCTCATTTGGAGACCGTATTCCTTCTGAAAGCCAAGTTCAAAGCTCTGTATATCACATCATGAAGTGCAGTCAGGGTGTGCCCATCCTGCCCAGAGGCCTGATGACAGGTCACACCAGCTCTCTGGGCAAGGGGCTCACTTCCAGGTAGCTCTTTCTGACTGCCGGGGAGGACCGTATCCACGTCCCAGACGTTGCATTGCTTTACTGTATTAGTTCAGTGTGATCAGACCTTGCCAGTAGAACTATCTGTGACGATGGAAATGTACCATTATCTGTGCAGTCCAATACCATAGCCACAGGCAGTGATGGTGAGTACTTGAGATGTGGCTACTGCTCATGAAGAACCAAGTTTAAACGTTAGCTTCCATTTCAACTTAAACAGCCGCATGTAGCTATTCTATGGGACAACACAGCTAGCTCTTAGATGTTTTCTGACATGAAATTCAGATGCCGGGTTGGATAAATGGAATGGGAATCCCTTCAGATTTCATCAGGAGAGGGATGCCATACCAACTTTGATGGATCTTCACCAAAGACAGTTCAGTTTTAGGATAATTTGTTTGAAATCAAGTACTCGTCTTTTTTGAATAAATGCGCTAGCTAGAGGGGGAGATTAAATTTCCTCTTACTTGTGACCTCACCACACATGCGAGCTACAACCGGAAAGATATCTGCCAGTTGGTGAGGAGTGAACCCATTTTCTCATGTGTGTGGTCTTGCGATGACTTAGGCCTCAGCACGGGTTTCAGTGAATTCCCAGAGGTCTTCTGGGAAGCCGAGTTTAGAAAGTTCCTGGCCAGTAAATAAATATCCTGTTTATATTGTAAGTTCACATGTGAGTATCTGAACTATGCTGGCTTCTGAATAACATGATGAAATTTTTTCTTCTTCCCCCTTTAGAACCAAAGAAAATGGCTTTGACAGAGAGCCTTTGCACTCAGAACATCCAAGCAAGCGACCATGCACTATTAGCCCAGGCCAACGGTACAGTCCAAATAACGGCTTATCCTACCAGCCCAATGGCCTGCCTCACCCCACCCCACCTCCACCTCAGCATTACCGTTTGGATGATATGGCCATTGCCCACCACTACAGGGACTCCTATCGACACCCCAGCCACAGGGACCTCAGGGACAGAAACAGACCTATGGGTAAGACTGAAGGATCTGTTCACTTCTTAAATGGTATTGGATGCTTGAAGACTCACATCATTACTTCTCAGCTGAACTTGAGGCTTGAAATCTGTGATAGGGGTAAAAATTCTCTCTCTTTATATTGTCTCCTTTATGAGAACAGTTGGTTAATAAGAGTATGTTCTTTAACAGCTGTGCTTTCTCTCTCTTAATTACTTACGGTCTTTATGATAGCAGACTAATTTTTTTTTTTTTTTTGGAAAGGGATATCTAAATTAATATAAAAGTCTCAACAAATACAAAGTGAATTTTTAGTTTTCTTTTTTTCAATTAGCAATAATCGCGCCTCGGATAAACCTCACTGGCTACGATACTGCCACGGCCCAAAGCTAGTTTTCTTTTTTTAACATTAGAGATTTCATATTCAGCCTGTCTGCCACGAGTATTTTTTAAAATGTTAACATGTTTCTTTTCTTTCATTGTACTTTTATTTCAGATAGTCTTAGAGTTCAATTTGATTTTTCCAGTCTTCGCAGTACTCTGTATTTGAGAAATATGAGATTGACTGATGTCTCTGACTTAAATCAACAGATGTTCTTTGAGGAATGGTTTTGGTACTTTTCTCACCTGCAAGTGACAGTGATTAAATTTAGTATTGACAGTTTTGTGTCATAGATCAAAGTACCAAAGAAAGAATGAGTTTAGGTAAATATGTGATCTGTTTCCTTGTGTTCATTCCTTCTTTACATAAAACTATTGAAGGGAAGCATTTAGGAGACATTGCCTTCTAAAGAACAAATATCTGCCATGCAAAATAAGAGGGAAAGTGAACAAGGTAAGATTTGATACCACGAGATCAGGGGTTGAGGGAACAGCATCAGAGCACTGTTCCCGGGCTCTTTTTTAATTCTTGATTTTGGCAAATCGAGCTGTTGGTAAACTGAGAGCAATCGTTACTCCTTTCTTCTTTTTCCATCTCCTGTGTCCACCACTTACCAGTAGGACATCTTTAGTCAGCTAATTGCTGCCAAGCTTTCCTGACTCGTAGAGTTGGTGGGCAGGGTAGCGGAAATATCAGCGGATGAAGTCTAAGTGGAAAACTAGAACACAGGGCCGAGGACGCAGAACTCTGGGAACAGTGGTCAGCCAGTTATCCACTGCTTGAATAGCAGGCACAGTGTTTTTAGCCAGAGACAGAGATAATGTGATGAGCAGAAGTTTATGTAAGCTTTCTCACTAGGTTGCTAGCAAACAGGGCTGCCATATTTGGGTCTTTTTGCCTTTTCTACATTTAACCCACCAAATTTTGTTCAGAAAATAGAAAAGGAGGCTCAGGGTGAGGGGAGGGGCGATGATTGAGGCCCTGGTTGTGAGACAGTCAAAAAGTAGTTCTGCTTCCCCACAACAGTCACTGCTACATTTCTATAGTGTGTCAGACAAATGGCTAAGCCTATCATTTGTGCTTTCTTAATAGCCAGTCTGTCTCATGTTCTCTCAGGTACTATTTCTGAAGAGCTCTCGAAAGTGGTTATGTCATTTTTCAACCTGGATCAATATTTTGACCCCTCCCATCAAATGTGGTAACAACCTCATTCTAAGTAAAGGTCTTGCCATTTATTTATGACTTTAGGCCCCCAAACCATGATTGCTCATTTTCAAATAGAAGTGGACTCACCAGGTCATTGTAAGACCAATTCAAGATACCCTGCTTTTGTAGGTGCTAGGAAACGGCCTCTTTGTTAGGCAGCAAATGCTATTTTATAAAATATCAGTGCCAGTGCACTATAAAGTAATCAGCAAGGAAGTAATTAGGCTTATGTGCAATGATTATGTTTTCATCTGGTAATGTAAACTATCCCTTCATGAATTATATCTATATCTACTGGTTTTATGTGATTTTTCTTCAGACCACGTTCCTTACCTTTTAATTATATTAGCTTATAAAACCAATAGTGCTAATCTCTATAAATATGTGCAACTACTTAACCATCCCTAAAGTCTGGCACAGTTTAGTGTGTGTTAATGTAAAATAAAATCTTGATGTATGAGTAACAAATGGTGGTGTTACATCAGGCTGCCATTTTGAGAATATAAAAATTGTCATAAAGGTATACTTCGTCTAGAGTGACTTATAAATGCCTATTATGTAGAGACATACACTCACTAGAATCTTTTAATAAAATACCTTTACAAACAGCATTAGTTTATAAGTAAACTTAAGAGTTTTAGTCTAGTTAGCTCAAATCTTCTAAACTATAAGAACTAGTTAGGATTCAACATTACTGTCAGATTGCCCACAAATGGAAATATGCTCTTTAATGATTATGAGCTATTTTCCCCTAGTATATCCCTTTGGTATTATGAATATAAATGAAAATTGTGTGGTGATGCATATTTAAGTATCTAAAATAGAGAAATTAATAAATGCAAAATTTTGAGTTGACTTAGATTTTCCTTTTTAAAGATTTGATTCTATCTAACAAATGACCTTCAGAGTTCAGAAGCAGCAAATGATATATTTTCTTACCAAGTACTTGGGCTCAAACATGTTTCTAATGTACTTTTCTTTTTTTTTAATGAGATGAAGCTTAGCAGTATTCCACAAATGTTGGAATCTCATTAGCCACAGACATCCTATGGCTCATCAATATTACTCCAGGTGTTAGAGCTTGTATCATCACTGACATAGGTCTGCTGAATTTTTGAAACTTTTTTTTAAGATTTTATTATTCATTTAGAGAGAGGACAGGAGTGGGGTGGGAGGAGGGGCAGAAGGAGAGAGAGAATCTCAAGCAGACTCCCTACTGAGCGTGGAGCCTGACCCAGGTCTGGATCTCACAACCGTGAGATCGTGACCTGAGCCAAAATCAAGAGTCAGATGCTCAACTGACTTAGCCACCCAGGCGCTCCTGAAACTTTTGAGACCTCTGGAGTTCTTGGTCCTTAAAAGCAAATAGTAAGATGCCTCCTTTGTGAAAGTTGATGCCATGTTTATATCTTCATCACTCTCTGGTTGTTTTCTGTGATGATTCATTTCAGCGGTAGTGTTTTTATTTCCTAAAATACAAGCAACAAATAAGTCAACAAAAATTACATATTTGCAAACATTTCAACTTGAAATAGTCACAACTGAGTAATAACTAAATATTCTTTTCCCCCAGTGTCTTTTCTATTATGCAAATTAACACATATTTGCAATTTTACGTTTTTACCAATAGGTGGCATTGACAATTTTAACTTTAAAAATCTCCGAACATGTTCTAATTAGATAAGAATGATGTGAAGTGTTTTATATTTAGCTTTTTATTTAATCTGAGAAAGTTCCGTCGTGTTTGTGCGCCTCCATCAGCTATAAATTAAGTTGCATTTCATGGTTGGCTGAAAAGAGTCATGTGACCCATCTTTATTTCTCTATATCAGGTAAAAGAGGGGACTTCTAACCACTCTGACTTCATGGAAAGTGAAATGCGGTATCTCCTAAGTCTCATTGTCCTCTAACTCCCCCATGATGCCCTTTTGAGAAGGAGCCTACCTAGGTGCCTAGAAGCCCAAACCATGCCAGACTTAATTTGCTATTCAGAGTAATGGTGTGAGAAGTACTAACCAAAAAGGGGTTTTAATCATTTAAAATGGAAAATATTGCCATAGTCCAATGCCTTTCTTTTCTGGTAGAAACTAAGGTGTTTCCTCCATAATGAATTTGTAAGATGAGCAACACGTTTCCCGGTATCTCTGCTCATAGCCTTCCACCCTATCCTCTCAGTGAGACACATTTGTTTCTGTTTTGATGAGCATCCTACCTAATTGCTCATGGCCATTGCTGTTGTTGCTCACTTGGTAAGCTTTTCCATGTCACCTTTTTGTGTTGTACCTTAACTGTGATGCTAACGAGCATTAATACTTAAGGTTATAGATTTCAGATTGGGATTTTTGGTTTCTTGGCTTGGATTTAAGATATTTGTCCAAAGTTGGGGCACCTGGGTTGCTCAGTTAAGCAGCCAACTCTTGATTTCGGCTCAGGTCATGATCTCACAGTTGTGAGATCCAGACCTGGGTCAGGCTCCACGCTCAGTAGGGAGTCTGCTTGAGATTCTCTCCCTCCCTCTCCGTCTGCCCCCGCCCCCCACTTGCGCACATGAGCTCTCTCTCTCTCTCAAAATAAATAAAATCTTTAAAAAAAAGATATTTGTCCAGAATTATACCTGGTATGTTGCATTTTTTTTCCTAAATGACGTCCAGTGTATTTCTTTAAAAAAATTTTTTTTTGGTAAATCAAATGAGTGTATATTGCTTTCATATTTTGCAAGCCCTCTCTTCATGGCCTAATTTCATCATGGAGGTATATGCAATAGGGTTGTTTCATTTGCCTCTCTGTGGCTAATGAAATGTGGAAAAATTGTACCGTGCTCGTTTTAGAAAAGCATATCCCTGCCCATGTAAAGTGATTTATGCTGCCTTTATTTTTAATGGTAGAGAGCCACGTTTTGAAACCACTTAATGTCTCCTTGTGGTTTCTCATATTTATTAAGAGTTAGTATATATTTGTATTTTCAATTTGGGAACATTATATGGATGACTGACTCAGTGTTTGGTGTCACTTTACTCCCCTTTCTTCCTACGTAAAAGAAAGGGTTCTGACCCTATGACCTCTAACATTCCTCCTAGTTTTTAACATTCTATCATTCTAGGAAGAGCCCATTAGGCAGTTGTGAACGTGAGTCTGACTTACGTCTCCATTCAAAATCGAATATATCTTCACATCCTTTGGTTTAGTCTTTGCTGAGTGCCTGTGTGTGTATGGATGGTGTCCTGATTGCTGTAGGGTGATCAGCCTTCTTCTCTGCATTCATAGGGTTGCATGGCACACGCCAAGAAGAAATGATTGATCACAGACTAACAGACAGAGAATGGGCAGAGGAGTGGAAACATCTTGACCATGTAAGATGTCGGTAATCACTTAGGTTAAAATAGGTTTCAGAAACAGCCGGAGTGGGGTTATATGATAAAAGAAATGCTGGGGATGCTTTGAGGTTATTATGTTCTGTGCTATCCTTGAAGAAAGGAATGAATGGGAAGATGTGCGATAAAATACAGGATTTGATTTCTACGTTGATATCAAAGGCACTAACGTAAGAGAAATGTGAGGTCGTGGAAAGGAACCCTCAGAGCCAGATCCGTGGGTTCCTGTTTTATTGCAAATGGGTCACTGGGTTTATACAGTAATGGGATTAGTATTGGGAACTTGGCTGTGTGCCTCCAGCCGAACTCTCTGTCTTGAGTCGTGTTCACGCCTCCCACCTTTTACTCTCATTCCCGTTGAGTTTACTCCTCTGTCGGGTCTCCATTTCAAATCCGACCGTTGAAAATACTAGGCTGAAGGAAGCCTTCGGGAACACAGTGGCATCCTTCATCGTCCCGCGGTAATCGGTTCGCTGTCCGCCGGAGTGGTTCCGTGGTGGTGATGGCTGTGTTCTTCCCCCGTGCCCGTCCCTCCCACAGCTGTTGAACTGCATCATGGACATGGTGGAGAAGACGCGGCGGTCCCTCACTGTACTGCGGCGGTGTCAGGAGGCCGACCGCGAGGAGCTGAATTACTGGATCCGGCGCTACAGCGACGCTGAGGACTTGAAGAAAGGCGGAGGCGGCGGAGGCGGCCACTCCCGGCAGCAGAGCCCCGTCAACCCGGACCCGGTCGCGCTAGGTACCTTTCCTTTGGGTGGACGCGCCGAACGGATAGTTCTCACACTCATAGTGCCGATCTCACGTTCAGTGGGGTCTTTGCAAAAATAAAGGGTATGTGGGGCCTTTTAGAGCAGTAAACACTTGACATCCCCAGTAGTCCCTGTGTCTCCGAGAGGAAGCCGGGGGACTGGCTGACTCAGAGGCGGGTGCAAAACTTAAGCTCCTCTTTCCAGGGTGACGCTGGGCTCGGGGCAGAGCTTCGAGGCTGGGCCAGGGTTTCACCCGCGTCAGGGAGACGTGTGCCCCTGCACAGCCCAGCTCTCTGCACCCTGCCCCCCAGCGTGCCAGAACAAAATCTCAGGGCACCGCGAGCCTCTGAGGCTGCAGCAAGCTCTCCAGGGAGTTCTGCTCCTGCACACCGTGTTGGATGCGTGTTGTCTGATTTTTAACTGAAGACACGGTCTCTAAGACAGCCTTGTTTTCCAGCTGTATCTTTTATTTTCATAAAACACTTAACCAGGAAGAGAGACCTTAATGGGTTACATAGTCTGCCTGCTGGCACTTGCAAATTAGTGATGAAGGGAGCACTGTCTTCTGGTGACTTGACCTTAACCTAGATGGCGTAAAGCCTTCCTTTTATTTTTTTTTTTCAAATTTTTATTTAAATTCTAATTAGTTAACATAGAGTGTAATACGGGCTTCAGGACTGTGTAAAGCCTTTATTGACTCTAGTTATATATACAACTGTTATTATAGTTGTGCTTTAGAAATTGAATGCTTAATGTGTAGCCATATCTAATATTGATATATGGAGATTGTCGAGGTTATAAATAGAATATCATCACAAATACTGGAAAGAGAGCCTGAACCTGGGAGAATTTTTGAGTAGCCTGTGAACTTTTGTCTCAATTAATATCAAGATGTTACCATTTACACTGCTGGCTACGACACGTGGGTACCATCTGAGTAAACTTAGTGGATACGGATTTGTGTTGATCCGTGTTCCCTCATCTCAGTTTTCTTATTTGTTTAGCCACACACCTGTCAACTCACTCAGGGCGCAGTCTGCACCGCAAACAAAACTAATTACACATGTGTAGATTAAACTCATGACTTTGGCCTCATTATCACTCTGGGCTGATTATTAAAAATTAAAAACTTGTCTATTACCTGGCTATTGATCATATTATCTTTTTTATTAAAATTATTCCTAGGCAATAAAGTTCCCTTTGTGCTTTAGGTTTGTGGATTCCTGCTAATCCCTGAATGCTGAATGCTTATTACCATAATAAGTATTATATAAAGAAAGATTCCAAGTCACTTACTTTACTAAGTACTATTCTAAAGCATGTTTTAAAGACAGATGTGCATTTGTTAGGATACATTAAGGCAAGCAATGAAAATAGGTTTAATTTGATCCAACATCGGTCCATGTAAAACTATTTAGAGCAGAGTTGAATAAGTATCCTGTTTTTTATTTCCTTACTGTGAACAAAAACTTATTAATCATGATGGATCTGTTCAGGACAAATAAAGGGGGTATTTGTAACCATGCAGTGTAGACAAAAATTGAAAGCCTTAACTAAATAAAATTTTAAGAGTAAAAGTGTTCAGTTTAACCTACTTTATTGAACTGATTTTGTTGAGCCAGTACTTATTTATTGAACGTTTACTATGTGCCAGGCATTGTGTTAGGCAATGTAATAAAGGAATAAAATCCTTCCTTCCTTCCCTCGATGAACTTTTGATATATTGGAGAAGATAGGCGGGGCCACAGCTAGTGACCAGACGGCCCCTGAACTGACAGGATTAGTATTATCTGCTGTCTGCTGTCAAAGAAAAAGTTCAGAAACTGATGGGACTTCATGCCTAAGTGAGTTATTTTCAGCCCACAAAATATAGGACACATTATATCATCACACTGTTGCATACACATTCTGGTGATGCAAATGTATATTGTTTTCGAGGACGATGGGTTTAGTTTGCCTGTTAACTTAAAGAATAAAGTTGGTTTTAAAAACTTCTTAGGAGTACCCAAATTACATTATTTCCGATGATGCTTAATGAATTCATAGTTTTGGTCATACAAGGTTGCTTTGGCTTTAAGCTTTTGTAGATTGTATTATTCAAAGACTACAAGCTCCTTTCTTTGTTTGGACTCTGACTTTTTTTCTTTTAATAAACAGTCATGTTCGTTAGGGCCACAGTACCCTAGACTGCCTTTTAGAAACCATCCCAACTGGAGAGGTAACTTGTCAAAAGCCACACAGTGTGCAAGTTTAAGCATCCCGCATGGCCTTTCATTGTGCGCCCTTCCCTAGCCTCGAAGCCTTTGAGTTTTGTTTTGTGGGGCTGGGCTGTGGCTCTAAGACAGACGGTGGTTGGTAATCATGGACCACACTCATACACATTGTTTTCGAAGGTTCTCTCCTAGATTTTGGAGTTGAATGTATTGATGTGTAAAGAAAGGATCAGAGATTACTGGCGGATGAGTCTCATTTCTGCCTCCAGAAAGTGTGTCATGGGGTGTGTGTGCATAGATAAGAACTATGGCTGTGTTTGTATCTTTATGTACACATAGAGCTCTGTAGCCTGCAGTTACATTACCTGTGTTTCTTTTAGCTCAATTCTCTCTCTTCTGCAGCTGCTACAGAGGTCAAATGAGACCTGCAGAACTTCAGAATAATATTATAGGAGATATCTTTAGTTCAAAATATTTCCTTGGTTTCCTGCCTAGCTTGGAAACATTGGCAGTTTTCAGTCACACACACACACACTCAGCATTTTTAAATTGCATTTGGGGACTGGACAGAGGAGAACGTAACCTCCGTGACCACTCTGTTGTACTTGTTAAACTTACTCCCATTCTCACTTTTGAAATATATCTATAGTGTTAAGTCAGTGTGAGGGATTAGTAAGAGAATATGACTCATCTATTACTAATTGAATTTTGGCGAGTTTTCCCTAGATATTAATTAAATAAAGGCTATTTTGTATAGCCTCTTGAACAATTTTAAAATTGAGTACACACTGAGCCCATAATGTTGTTTTGACTCAAAAACAGGTTGGTATCTTGAAGGACTCTTCAGAATATTAGATTTTTTCCTTGAGATCATAGATTTGTATTATTTTTATTGTTATTACCCACTTTCCAGGAAAACTCCAAGTATTCAAGTACTAAAATTAGAAAGCTAATTTTTAAAACAATTGTCTTTATTTTCAAAGTATGACTTGTTTTTTGTACACTTAAGTTTTGTTACATGGGTGAATTTCACCCAAGAGAAGCTAATGCCATCAGAATCGACACATAGGGTCACTGAAGTAGAATTGCTTTTGTCCAAATAGGTGGGTAGGTGCTGGTTAGCACTTCATGGGCCTGCGTGTTGATCTGGGTCTCTGTGCGGCTGCTTTTCTCCTCCTTTGTCTCCATTCCTCTTTTCTCTCAGTGTGCTGTTCATATCACTCTCTTGGCTCCTGACATTTTATTTCCTTCAAATTACTTTCTTTTTACTGGCTGTGTACTATTCTAGAATCTTCCTATAGTTCATCTTGTATTTGTGTGCTTTCCCTCTGTGTTTCTCAAGAAGTTCTTTATACCATTAGAGTTAAAGGAAGTATCCAGAGACTGCGGCGTAAATCTCTGAAATAGGAATACATTTTTCCCTTTTTTAATTTTTTGAATGTTTGGATATTGTGATGAGAATGTATGAAATTTTGAAAATACTTTCATGTGTGTTTTGGTAAGGTTTTGACTCTTGCCAGAAAGAGAAATGTCAGAAAGAGGCATTTTGTTTGTTTTAAATGGAATGAAAAGTCCAGTTGATCGTTCATAAAAAAGCTCAGGAATTCTAAGTTTGGCAAATTAATACCATCCCTGCCTCAAGTAGACTGGTAGGGAAATTGGTATTTTAAAATTCCACTGGCCAGCAAGCTTTATGATTGTCATATAATTGAATTACAGAATTTCTCATTACTGTCTAAAACCTCAGGTAATCTAGCATGAAGGTTAAAAGCACAGATTGTCTGGGTTCAGACACCTAGTTCCTCCTCTTCCTAGTTTTGTCACCTTTGGCAAGTAATTCTCTGTGCTTCAGTTTCCTCGTCTATAAGATGCAAATGGTAATAATACATACTTCATAGATGTTTCTGTATTAAATGAGTTAATAGGTATAAATCATATGGGACAGTGCCTGACCCATAAGTAGATGTGATAAAAGTAATGGGTGCTATTGTTCTTTTAATACGTAATCTCAGAAGGAACTTTAAAGGACAGGGGTACGTGAAACCAACTTGCTTCGCATCCAAGATTATAAAATTAGAGTAGATTCTTAAGTATTTTTTTCATTCTGAAAATACATCGAACAGTAATTTTTAGGTGACTTCGTTATTTAACAGGCAGAAAAACTAGAAAAGGGGAATTCTGTCTTAAACACAGTTAAATCTGTTGTGCCTTTGGGACCCTAATTCATAATACAAGACTATGGAAAAATAGTTTGCTCCCAACCAAAGAAATATATCCTGTCTTACTATCAGATTATAAAAACCACAACCATGTTTTTCAGAGTATATCTGCATATACAAGTTTAGAGTTTTGTATACTTGTATTGATTCCTTGAAATCACATCATGAAATTCGTTTCAAGATCATTCATCTTAAGTGCCCACTGTATTTAAGTATATTGGGTTTAAAAAGATGGGAGTAATAGATATACCCATCTTTTAAAAACAAGAAGAGATGATTGCCTCCTACTAGGTATTTTTGTTGTTAAAAACAGAAATCCTAATGTAGTTCTGGCTTCTAAGTTTGGTTTGGGCTTCTGAAACATAATATTGAAGTTTCTGAATTGATTATCCTTAAAAATAATAACTAGCGTTTGTAAAGGTGAACTCACTTAACCCATCCTTTCTTTTGGTGGTTTTTTGTGATAGATATTATCATGCTCTCAGCCTCATTCTGCCCACTACAGAATGAAGGCCATACCTAGGTACTGCCAAGCTTTGAGCCTTGCTGTCCTGGGTCAAATGAGGTCCCATTGGTTCTCCAAAGGCTATCAGCTCATCCCTTCATCTGTATTGACGGCAGCCCTTGCTGTTTCTAGTATCCAGTGGTCCCATTATGTCGTAAGTGTAGTGCATCTTGCATCTCCTACATCATAGATTGCTTTTCCTGTTCTTCCACGTTTCTTATAACTACTCCTGCACCTTGACGCAGTCCCTCTCTTCATAGACATGTTCTCTTCTGGAGGCTCCTTCTCCTCTCACCCCCAAACAATTTGGGTCCCAAAACAAGCCAAACTCAATTTAGGACTTTTCTATAATTTTGCAGTTTTTCAGTAGTTACATATATATATGTTTCACACTTTAAACCATCTCCTATAGGCTCTTCTGTCTTTGTTTCTATGACTGCATTTTAATACAACTATCCATTTTATAGCAACTAATGTTTTATAGGTGGTCAAGATTTAATGGCAAATAAAAATTCGCTGCTTTGAAATCTGGGCCTTAAAAACACAAGGTGTCGGGGTGCCTGGGTGGCTCAGTTGGTTAAGCGACTGCCTTCGGCTCGGGTCATGATCCTGGAGTCCCGGGATTGAGTTCCGCATCGGGCTCCCTGCTCAGCGGGGAGTCTGCTTCTCCCTCTCCCGCTCCCCCTCTTGTGCTGTCTCTCTCTCTCACTCTCTCACTCAAATAAATAAATAAAATCTTAAAAAATAAAAATAAAAAAATAAAAAAAACGTAAGGTGTTTTACATAGGTTTGTCTAGAGCAGTCAATATTCTAAATTAAAGAAGCCCTCAGAGGGAAGTTGTCTCTTGTAATATTGAGCAACTTCAGGATTGTTTTGTTTTTTAAACTCAGTATTGCCCATAAAGACATTGTTATTGCTGCTACTTCAACAGAAGTGAAGATAGTATATTTATTAGTCATTTGGTTTCTGTAGCGATTGAGGTATTCCGATTGTAGTATTCATCAGTGTATCAAAAATAGATTCTAAGGAGTACATCTGATCGCTCCATTCTTATATACATTTACATATATATGTAAATCTGTGAATATAAAAATATTTTTGCCTTTAGATTCTTATTTTGAAAAGAAGTTCTTTTAGAAAGTAGGGATTAAGAAAAGTTTTACTTGATTGGCTTTGGTGTTTCTGTTGGGTTTCAAGGTCAGGTGCAGTTTGAGTCTATATGTCACTGAGAATTTTAGGGATATATAGCCAACTTGAAATATTGCGTAACTTTCCAGTGTGGTATATGGACCCTCACAATCTACTGTACAGCTCCTGGGAAGGTGGGCGCCTGATTTAAGCCTTATACATTATCTTTGAGTAAATTTGGGGACTATAAATATTTATGAGTTTTAAATAAAATTTATACAAATATCATGTAAGAAATTTGAGGACTTCCCAACAAGAACTAAGCGAACTACTAACTATGGAAATAACTTCTATCCCCAAGTGACATATACTCAGTGAATAAAAAATTACTGTTGTATATTGCTTAATCCAAGTCTCTTGAGAGGTTTTTTTGTTTTTCTTTTTTCCTTTCCTTTCTTTTTAAGTTTTGTGCTATGTGGATTTAAGTGCTGGAAGAAAAAGAAACTTTAAGGTGCTTGTTTCCACCTTAATTATTGATGAGGAAATAAGTATCCATTCTTACTGGACAGCCTACTAAATAATAACAGTGATAACAGTTATGAGGGTAATAACATCTAAAGTCCAGTGAGAATTTGGGATGTGCCATGCTGAGCATGTAATAGGAAGTACCTCTTTCAGTCTCCACAGCAGTGCACTCAAATGTTGTACTGGTATCCCCACTTTACAGATGTGGTGACTAAGAGATGGAGAAACTAACCTGCTCAGTGTCACCTGACTAGTAGGTGGCAAAGCCAAGATTCAACTTCACTGAGCTCTAGAACGAACTCTCTTTTACTTATGCTCTCTGGGGCGGTAGTTTCTTTCATGCATGGCCTTTGGGTGACTTAACATTACCTTTCCATTCCCTGTAATAATGATTGACCATTTATAAATACTTTTTACCAAGCTGTTGATCTTGTCTTAATCCAATAAATGGAAAAAAAAAAATTGTTTTTTACTTTGGAGAAGGCATGGTTTTTCTTTACATATCTATTCTTACACTAAAGCCAAAATCTATTCCTAGAAAACCGTCTTTAAAAGCTCTCATAGGTTTCTCTCTGTTTCATTGTGTCATATGGTTAAATGTGAACTTGATTACACTTTTTTTATTTCTTCTGGAAATAGTTGTAGTGGTGTGGAAGGTAATCCTGATGAATCTAATTAGCCACATCACATTTCCTTGAAGTTGTGTGTGCACCACAGTTTTATCTAGCTGTTTTATGAATGAAAATTACTTAAATAAAAACATTTTGGTTTTCATCATTTTCCTTACAGAAATCACTGTGTGCATGAGAATAATCATGAGAATGGGTATTTCAAGTGCATCTGATTATCATGTAATCATGAAATTATAATGTAAAGTTTTAAGAATTTGTATATTTGGAATAATTACAGATTTAAGAAACATTGCAAAGATAATACAGAGAGTTTCCAGATGCCCTTCATTAAGCTATAATAAGCTTTTCCTAATTCAGAATAGTTGGGGAAATCTTCAGTTTTAGCCACTATCAGTGTACCCTGCAAGGAATCAAAACATTCAGACCTATTTAAGGCATTCAAATGTAAAATGATATATATACCTAGCTAAATTGAGTGTGCTTTTCTGTTTTCCATAATCTATATTCTGGTACTTGACATTTCTTATGAATGAAGGGACTATCTTAATTACTTGAAATTTATCACGGGTTGAATGATTGTTCTATTTATAAAAGTTAAAATGATTTTTTTCCTGCCCCCAAACCTCTAAATACATAGGCTTTCGTTGAAAAATTCAATATGGAAGACGTGTAGTACATATTTTAACTATGGAAGACTGTACACTTTCAGTTTATTTTCTATCATATATAGAAAAATGTAAAAGGTGTCCTGTCATTTCCACAAACATGTTATTTTGGAGGTTAGCATTCCTACATCAACTTATTATGATCTGTTTTCTCAAACTTTTAAAATTTGACAAGGATAAGCACAGCATTTCATTTAAAGTGAAACGTCATTGGCTCTTTTAGAAAGCACGTACTAATCTTGTTTTAACTGAATATCTCTGAATCCACTCTCATGATTCTTTCCTCCTTCCACCCATGTCAAATCCTTACGATCCGATTTGTGTGAAAATGTTTAGTGTCCAGCGAGATTTTTAAGAAGTCATTGGGAGAACTGGTTAACCATGGAGTAAGGCTCACTATTTATTGAAAGGTGGTGGTATCAGAGCTATGTGAAAATTATATTAGCCTAAGATTTGATTTTTTTAACTACCAATCTGACTCTTGAAAAGAGAACTCCCAAATACGATTTATTTTCTTGAACAAAATAAACATGCCTGTAGAAATTCTCAGAGTGGCGGGGTTCTGGGAGCAGTGCTCCCAGACATCCTGTTGGATAATGAAATCACTGAAGTTGTTTAATTTTGAGCGTACAAGGCATTTAAGCCAATGACCTTCTGTTTTCCTTGAGCTCTGATGACTGGCCTTGCTATTTGTGTTTATTTTCTAGAGGTGAAATGCTCAGCCTTTTAGAATGATGTTTTTGTAGAGCAGCCAAGAGAATGGGAAGTTGCTTGCTTCTATTCTGTGTAATGACATAACGTGCTTATGGTGCTTTCTTCCTCTCCCCACCCGCTTTGCATCCTTTTCCTAGATGCGCATCGGGAATTCCTTCACAGGCCTGCTTCTGGATACGTGCCAGAGGAGATCTGGAAGAAAGCTGGTAAGAACTGTTGAAAAACACGAGTCTAGTGTTGTGCCAGCTGTGTTCATGCAGCGATGGGAGGAGCGACAAGGAGGGCCTTTCCTGCTAACGACAGCAAAAACAGAACAGTCCCCCCGCCACAAGCCAAAAATTTAAAATCCTAATTAATATCCTTCCACCGGACCTGATTAGAACACGGAATAGTTTTCATTCGAGGAACATCTGCTAGTGCCACGTAATTGACCGTCGGACAGTGTTTCTGTTGTAAACCCCTGTTTTTCAGGTGCTCTCATAGTTTCGGGCTAAAAGCTTGCGTAAGAGGTCTCAGCTTGCATGCGCTTTACTCTTAATGAAAAACTAATGTTTTAGGGGCACCTGGGTGGCTCAGTCGTTAGGCGTCTGCCTTCAGCTCAGGTCATGATCCCGGGGTCCTGGGATCGAGCCCCGGGTCGGGCTCCCTGCTCAGTGGGGAGTCTGCTTCTCCCTCTCTCACTCCCCCTGCTTGTGTTCCCTCTCCCACTGCGTCTCTCTGTCAAATAAATAAAATCTTAAAAAAAAAAACCAACAACAAAACTCTTAAAAAAAAAAAAAAAAACTAATGTTTTAGAAATTAAATTGCGTACGTCAGTCCTTTCTCCTGATTTTTAAAAGTGGAGATAGAATTGGCACGTCTCCAAAATTCTTTAAAAAATCCTAACAAAACTAGTTTTGTTGAGGTACTCCCAGACTTATGACTACAACCAATATTTAAAATTGATCTTCTGGGCTAATTAATATTCAGTGACCAGAACTAAATTGTTTCCTAAATTAAATGACAAAGTTGCTAAACTTCTATATTTTCCTCCTGTGTACACGATCAGATTTTTATTAAGAGATACTGGTCTCCATTTTGGGGCTGATTTAAAGTTCCCAGTGACACACTGACTGCGGAAGGTTTGGATCTGGCTGAATCTTGGGGGAACACCAACACTTAGAAAAGTTGAGCCAAAACCTTGCAAAAACTGACTCAGGAGAGAAGCATAAAACCTGTTTCAAGAGTTAAAGATGATGTGCCAGACACATACTGTGGCTTTGAGCTGCTCTAAACTCCAGCTATTAAAATAGTTTGACTGGAGAAACTGGAAAATGCTATTTCTGCAAAGGGTCAGATGGGTGTAGGGCTGGGATCCCTAATCAAGGGGAAATAGTGAAGGAAAGGGTCTCTTGGGGTTGTAATTTGATCCACCTCTGTCCGTAGTTCTTTGCAACTTGGCTGATGCTCTGATCATTTGGCTCTTACCCAAGTGTTTTTAAAGATTTTCTAAGAAATACCTGTTTTTGGGGCGCCTGGATGGCTCAGTTGGTTAAGCGACTGCCTTCGGCTCAGGTCATGATCCTGGAGTCTCTGGATCGAGTCCCGCATCGGGCTCCCTGCTCGGGGGGGAGTCTGCTTCTCCCTCTGACCCTCCCCCCCTCTCATGTACTCTCTCTCATTCTCTCTCTCTCAAATAAGTAAATAAAATCTTTAAAAAAAAAAAATACCTATTTTTGTAAGAGTGATAAGGAGTTTCAAAATCTGATAGTATGCTAGACCTGGTAGCTTACATTGAGAACCAGAAGGCTCTCTTGCATGTCCAATATGCAAATCAGGTAGATATTCAGCTTAAAGGTTATATATGTTGCTAAGCTGCATAGTCTTCCCAGATTTACAGCATCACCTCTAAGATTTCTTCCTGGGTCATGGGGTACTCCCAAGCTGTTAAAATGTGCCGCGTGTCACCTAGCTGGAAAAAGAATTGCTACATCTTCTTTCTGACCACTATTTCTTCCCCATTCTTAAGCTGTCAGTGCAACTTATTCCAACAAGAGACACAAAGAATTGCCATTTTGGACAGCAGAAGGATGACATTTTATGTTGAGGGAGAGAGTCTTTCTCTGCATTTCCTTTATTTATGTGTATTGAAGTTAAATCCTTGATAGTTCATAAAGAAAAATTGACAGGAAAGCCTTGTGTAATCCAAATTCTTTTTCTGTGCTATTATCTGCTCAAGTCTTTGTTTGACTGCTATTATGCGAGAGCAGATTTTTCTGAATATACCACCTTTGTTGGAAAGTCAACTTGAATAGCTCTGCACAAAGGAAGTCCTACCATAAGTGGTAAGCAATTGGAAGCAGATTCAAAACTGCACTATATATTTGCCACTTAATCAGGTTCTTTAAAAATTTGACATGTTGTAATCTATTGAGTCCACTCTTATTTTTCTTCACTGTTTTGTGGGTTTCGGAAACTAATTCTGGGTATACTTGACATCGTGGGGGCTGCACAAGTAGAGAAAGAACAATCCTTGCTTCTGTTATGTCCATGGACTCTCTAAGAAGCGTTAAACCTTATTAAACGAATGCCCAGAACATTTTTTAGATGTGCCTATATTCTATCTTAGGGCTTCAATCTAAAATAGGACTTGGAAGTGGGGTCGATTACATGTGTGTATTGTGTTATTCTCACACCAGTATCCCTAATCTGCTGCACAAAAACAGTTTGGGGATAGTGTTCTATGGGTAGATGCTAATATTAAGGAGTATGTTAAATCCCCAAAGTACAGGCGACAGTTTCATCTGGAAATCTTGAATAACTGCTTATAATATTTATCTTTATAGGCGTCTTAAAAAGCATTTCTAGTGTTCACAGTGTCAAGGCATCCAGCATGATGAAAACACTGAGGTCAAAATGTGACATCTGCACTCAGCTTGTTACAATTTGAAAGCTTTTTTCCCCAAGATTCTAAAATTTGCTGTGGGCAAAATTTTTTTTGGAAGAAAACCTGTAAAGTATGTCTTTGCAATCAAAGTATTATACATTACCTTTGTGGCAAAAGATAAGTAAATAAAAGAAAGTTTAAAGCATTTGAAAAATATCAAAGGGGTAGAGCTCTCAAAATTCAATGTAGTATAACCAGGGTATCCTTTTTCACAGGAAATATAATTGCAGAAAGTATGTTCTGTGCATGAAAGTATATCATACAATATTTAGCACCATTTTATTTTGAAATGATATCAGACTAGCAGAAAAGTTGCAAAAAATGGTATTAAAAAATTGCCTTATTCTTTTTACCCAGTTTTCCCTATTTTACTGTATTTGGTTCAATATCTTTCTTTTCCTTTTTCCTTCCCTCCTTTTCTTTCTCTGTTATGCATGTTTTCCCCCAACCATTTGAGAGTAAGTTGCAGATCTGATGCCCTTTTACCCTAAACATTTTAGTGTGTATTTCCTAAGAACAAGGACATTCTCTTATGTAACTATAGTACAATTACCAAAATCAGGACGTTAACAGTATGTAACTCACAAACCCCATTCAAATTCTGCATGTTACCCCAGTAAGAGTATAACAATGTAATAGCGTAACAATACACATTTTTAAATATTTTGGGTCCTCGGGTGCCTGGGTGGCTCAGTCGTTAAGCGTCTGCCTTCAGCTCAGGTCATGATCCCAGAGTCCTGGGATCGAGTCCCGCATCGGGCTTCCTGCTCCATGGAAAGCCTGCTTCCCCCTCTCCCACTCCCCCTGCTTATGTTCCTGCTCCCGCTGTGTCTTTCTCTGTCAAATAAATAAATAAAATCTTTAAAAATAAAAAAATATTTTGGGTCCTAACAAATGTTGAAGGCCACATCCGTTTTCCCCTATAATTACTATTTTTAAAAGCAACAGCAAAAATAACAGAACACACCGTAAAGGTATGAAAAGTCTTCATAAAATCGAGGGAAAAATCTAACGTAAATATGGTTTTCAAATCACAACCGAGTGTTTTCTTCAGTATATTTCTTTTTCAAACGATCAGTGAATGTTTGCAGTTGGTAATAAATATTCAAGCACCTTGCAAATGTCCTACCAACTCTCTTTGCTGATCTGTATATGCCTGTGGGATTAGAATAGGAATGCATAATTTAAATATAAATTGCCTGATTTGCATACACAATTAGTCAAGCTACAGCTTTGATCGTAAGCAAAAATTATTGTCCTGTATTACCACTTAGATAGAATTTTAATTCACCTTGAATATTCAAACTAAATTAGACCCTGGCTGTCTAGTTAGAAGGGCAGTACTTCCCTGGTATGATAGGGTAATAAAGGCATCTTTTCACCTCCTGGTGAAGAAAGAGCTGCAAGCTCTGTGCAGTACTCTTTCTATCCAGATTTTAAATGGCATATCTTAGAGCAACCAACAAAGGCTTAACATATTTTAGTTAATATTTCCAGTCTGGATCTTTCCCTTATATTTTAGTTTATAAAACCTAGCAGACAGTAATTACAGACGGAAGAACTTCAGAAATAATGTGGCTGGCGTGACAGAGGCTAAAAAAGTCATGCCAGCTAATTACTAGTGGAGGGCTTTTGATGATCCTCAAGGCCTGGGCTATAGATGTGTGAAATAAACCATAGACGTTTAAGAAACCATAGGAGTATTTGCATCTCTTACATTTTTAATCTATAGTAAAATATTTTTTTATTAGGAATCTATGTTTTTAATTAAACAGAACATTTAATTAAGGTGCTTTTTAAGTGGGTGAAACAATTAAGTGCAAACACTTGAATGAAACATGTCATAATTAGTTTTAATAGAGTGTTAATTGGTACTAGGTTTGCCAAGTTAATAATTACTGCTTATTAAATTTTCAATTAATCATTGTCATTTTGCTTTGAATAAAGATGAAAATTAGATAAACTAATTTAGGGGGAGGATATTTTCCCTTGTTAATTAGAACAATTAATTTTTTTAAATGGAAATTACTTGTTTTAGTTGTCAATCTCATATTGTACATTAGTCAAATCTTTGCACCCTTTCCACAGCCAAAAATAAAGAGCTAATTTGACACCTTGCAGGTTTGTAGGCAGGCCTGATTGTTTTGGCCTCTGGTATGATTCAATTATGTTTGTCTAGTGCAACAGTTGGTTATGCGAAGCTGTGTATATATTTGATTGAGTAGATGGGCAACAGCTTAAAACTGGGAAATGAGAAAATGATTTTTTAAAGAATCCTAT